AGTGTCTATTACTCCCTCCGTCCGGAAAAGCTTGTCCCTCAAATGAATGTATCTAGCACTAACTTGGTGCTAGATACATCCATTTGAGAGACAAGCTTGGGACAAGTTTTTTCGGACCGAGGGAGTACAACAAACACATTTTTTTCATAAAACTTACAGTAGTAGAAGTACTCCCTCCGTCCCATAATATAAGAACGTTTTTGACACTAGTGTAATGTAAAAAACGCTCTTATATTATGGGACAGAGGGAGTACTATTTAGAAGGCAATCATTTGATATATCCCGATGACATTGCTTTACCTATCATAATTTATGTCTAATCAATTTCAGGGACTTCTCTAACATTGTTCAGGCTTTTAGACAGAAAAAAGATATAAACCTCAATGGAGGAACTGCTAAATTGGACAAGTACACAAGTTTACTAACCTGGATATCCAATTATACCAACAATATCTCCCCGCTTCACAACACTGTGGCATTTGTAGAATTCAGTTTCGGCCACCTCTGAGCAGCTAACAGAGAGATAAGAGACTAGAAATCATTTCATATATTTTGGTAATGGAAGCAAAATGAAAAAGGAAAGGGTATTATAATGGAAAAATGTGCATCTTATATGCCAATTTCATCATCTTGATCCAACCAGTGCAACTGATACCTGGCCCCAGCCATGACTTGAACCTTCACCCCATCGCCATAGAGATCATAAAAGAAGAGTTCGGATGAGGAAACTCTCTTGCTCATGACCCTCCCTTGCAGGCACAAACAAATCATTTCAGGGAGCAGAAAACTTTGGCAGTGCTAACTACAGTTACTTCCACACAGAAACAACCAATACCAGCCAAGCTTTCAGTGACAGTCAGAAAATGTTCGCCAGCACCCAAGCTGCTGTACTTGGTCACATAGTCTGGGATGGAGATCGCGACCTCAAACTTGTGCGGATAGGGGTCGACGCCCGTGCTTCTAAGAGAATCGAGCATATTCAGCCTATTTTCATAGTATTGCTGCAGCAAGAAACAGAATCAGCAACGTTTTCTATCTGAAAGGATATATTTTCTTACTGCTGATGGTTTGGAGAACTGACCGTGGGGTCTGTTTCTTCACCGTCCCCAGCAGGACCATGTTGTTGTGGCAGGATGCCATCCCCAGCTAGATCCTATAAGAAGATATAAACACCAATTGTGACCAACCAAGCTAAAAGATTTGGGGATGCGGCACAACTAAACCAACAAGCAAAAGAGAAAATTCGGAGGACTAAGATCATAAGACAACCGAAGTGGCCTGAGAGACGAGTTTCGAGGGTTACTGCCATCCGAACCAATGAATCGAGATTAGAAACAAGAAAAAGGACAAGTGCAGATGCTGATTGAGATACCATGTTGTCCCCTTCCTGTTCCATCAACTGCTCCATCTGCCTCCCCCCTCTCTCTCTCTCTCTCTCTGTGTCTCCAGCTGCTGCATCAACAGGTGCCCCTGAACAGCAGGCGCTCGCGGAGCAGCTTCCCGATCTTGGCCGCCGCAGCCACGTCCCGCGTCGACTCCATGCTTGGCCTCAGGATCTTCTCCTGTGAGCTCGCTGCGCATGCGATGGTCGCCGATGGGGTGTGGATGACTTGGGCCGTTGTTAGAGTACGTAATGGGCCTAATGGGCCAGTTAGTCTTAGGGTTAATTAGAGATAAGGGTCGCTTGCTTAGGGGTTAAGTAAGCCTTGCTTGAGAGTCAAGTAAACCTCACTATATAAAGAGAGGAGATGTATCAATCTAATCAAGCAAGAATTAAGAAGGAAATCCCTTTCCTCTTGCCCGGCTGTGGGCAGAAAGGCCCCGGCCGGCCCTCTCGCGCCCTCCTTCTAGCAGCGTCATAATAATTTGGTATCAGCTAGCTCAGTTCCGATCATGTTTTCGCCGCCGTCCACCCCATCGCTTCCGTTGCCGACCGTCACCACCACGCCGCTGGCCATCTACACCGAGACGCTGCCCTCCCCGTCCGTGACGCTGGTCGCATCCTCCGGCGCCGCCACCGCCCAGATGTCGGCGCCCTCCACCCCACCACCGGCCGCCGCCTACACCCCGGAGAAGATCACCGGGGTCCTCAACGACCTCGTCACAGCCGTCCAGGGGATCCGGCTATACCTGGCCAGCCCCTACGGGTCGCCGCCGCCCCTGCCGTGGTACTCGCCGCATCCAGGGGCCTTCGCGGCGTTCGCTGGAACGCTGCAGCCCCAACTGCAGCTACCGCTGCCGCCCGCCGCCGCCCCACAGTGGCCGGCGTCGGCTCCCGCCGCGCATCCAGCGCCCATTGCTGCCCCCGCGCCGCTGTGGCTGCCGTGGCAGCCGCCGCACCAGGCAGCCTTCGCCGCGCTCGCTGGGCCACTGCAGCAGCCGCCGCAGCTGCCATCCATCGCCACCACCGCCCAGCCCTAGCTGAAGTGGCAGCCGCCGCTCCTGGCGGCCTCCGCCGCGCCCGACGCTCCGCCGCAGCAGCCGATGCAGCCACCGCCGGTCAGCTCCGATCTCGCATCGACCGCACCGGCGGGAGTCCCGCTGGATACGTCCATTTTGCATCATGATTTTATATCAATATTTATTGCATTATGGGCTATTATTTCATGTTATGTCACAATACTTATGGCTATTCTCTCTTATTTTACAGGGTTTCCATGAAGAGGGAGAATGCCGGCAGCTGGAATTCTGGGCTGGAAAAGGAGCAAATTTGGAGGCCTATTCTGCGCAACTCCAAAAGTCCTGAAACTCCACGGAATATCTTAAAATAAATAAAGAAAAATCGTCGCCAAATATGAAGGCCAGGGGGCCCACACCCTGCTCACGAGGGTGGGGGGCGCCCCCCCCCTGGGGCGCGCCCCCCTACCTCGTGGGCCCCCTGGTGGCTCTCCGACGCCCATCTTCTCCTATATGAAGTCTTTCGATGAGGAAAAAATAGAAGGCAACCTTTTGGGACGAGACTCCGCCGCCACGAGGCGGAATCTTGGCGGAACCAATCTAGGGCTCCGGGAGAGCTGTTCTGCCGGGGACACTTCCCTCCGGGAGGGGGAAATCATCACCATCGTCATCACCAACGCTCCTCTCATCGGGAGAGGGCAATCTCCATCAACATCTTCACCAGCACCATCTCATCTCCAAACCCTAGTTCATCTCTTGTATCCAATTCTTGTCTCCAAGTCCGGGATTGGTGCTAGTAGGTTGCTAGTAGTGTTGATTACTCCTTGTAGTTGATGCTAGTTGGTTTATTTGGTGGAAGATCATATGTTCAGATCCTTTATGCACATTATTACCCCTCTGGTTATGAATATGAATATGCTTTGTGAGTAGTTACGTTTGTTCCTGAGGACAAGGGAGAAGTCTTGCTATTAGTAGTCATGTGAATTTGGTATTCGTTCGATATTTTGATGAGATGTATGTTGTCTAGCCTCTAGTGGTGTTATGTGAACGTCGACTACATAACACTTCACCATTATTTGGGCCTAGAGGGAGGCATTGGGAAGTAATAAGTAGATGATGGGTTGTTAGAGTGACAGAAGCTTAAACCCTAGTTTATGCGTTGCTTCGTAAGGGGCTGATTTGGATCCATATGTTTCATGCTATGGTTAGGTTTACCTTAATACTTTTATTGTAGTTGCGGATGCTTGCAATAGATGTTAATCATAAGTGGGATGCTTGTCCAAGTAAGGGCAGTACCCAAGCACCGGTCCACCCACATATCAAATTATCAAAGTACCGAACGCGAATCATATGAGCGTGATGAAAACTAGCTTGACGATATTCCCATGTGTCCTCGGGAGCGTTTTTCCTATTATAAGAGTTTGTCTAGGCTTGTCCTTTGCTACAATAAGGATTGGGCCACCTTGCTGCACTTTATTTACTTTTGTTACTTGTTGCTCATTACAATTTATCTTATCACAAAACTATCTGTTACCACTTATTTCAGTACTTGCAGAGAATACCTTGCTGAAAACCGCTTATCATTTCCTTCTGCTCCTCGTTGGGTTCGACACTCTTACTTATCGAAAGGATTACGATAGATCTCCTATACTTGTGGGTCATCAAGACTCTTTTCTGGCGCCGTTGCCGGGGAGTGAAGCGCCTTTGGTAGGTGGAATTTTGTAAGGAAAAAATTATTTAGTGTGCTGAAATTTGCTGTCACTTGTTACTATGGAACGTAATTCTCTAAGGGGCTTGTTCGAGGTATCTTCACCCCGTACAGTAGAGCAAAGAGTTGCTCCTCAACCTACTCAACCTACTGAACCTATTGAAAATGAAACTCCTTTTGAGATTCCTTCGGGTATGATGGAAAAACTGCTAGCTAACACTTTTACAGGAGATGGAACAAGGCATCCTGATGAACATCTACGCTATATGGATAACATTTGTGGACTATTTAAGCTTGCAGGTATACCCGGTGATGTTGTTAAGAAGAAGGCCTTCCCTTTACTTTGAAGGGAGACGCATTGACATGGTATAGGCTATGTGATGATATGAGATCATGGAACTATAAAAGATTGAAATTGCAATTTCATCAAAAGTATTACCCTATGCATCTTCTTCATCGTGATCACAATTATATATATAATTTTTGGCCTCGCGAAGGAGAAAGCATCGCTCAAGCTTGGGGGAGGCTTAAATCAATGTTATATTCATGCCCCAATCATGAGCTCTCAAGAGAAGTAATTATGCAAAGTTTTTATGCTCGGCTTTCTGATAACAATCGCACCATGCTCGATACTTCTTGTGCTGGCTCTTTTATGATGAAGACTATCGAATTTAAATGGAATTTATTGGATAGAATTAAACGCAACTCTAAAGATTGGGACCTCGACGAAGGTAAGGAGTCAGGTATGACACCTAAGTTTGATTGTGTTAAATCTTTTATGGATATCAATATTTTCCGTAAGTTTAGCACTAAATATGGACTTGACTGTGAGATAGTAGCTTCTTTCTGTGAATCCTTTGCTACTTATGTTGATCTCCCCAAGGAGAAGTGGTTTAAATATCATCCTCCAATAGAAGTAAAAGTAGCTGCACCTATTAAAGTTGAAGAAAAGATTGTCACTTATAATGATCCTATTGTTCCCACTTCTTATGTTGAGAAACCGCCTTTCCCTGTTAGAATGAAGGATCATGCTAAAGCTTCAACTGTTGTTCGTAAAAGCAATATTAGAACTTATACACCTCCTGAGCAAGTCAAAGTAGAACCCAATATTGCTATTGTTAAAGATTTCTTGTCTGATAATATCGATGGGCATGTTATTCAACTCCAGGGTGAAACTGCTAGAATTGCTAAACCTTGTGATAGAGATAAACATAGACCTGTGGTAAGCGTGCCTATTATTTCTGGTAAAATAGGAGATCATTGTTATCATGGCTTATGTGATATGGGTGCTAGTGCTAGTGTAATACCCATTGACTTATACAGAGAAATTATGCATGATATTGCACCTGCTGAATTAGAAGAAATTGATCTCACCATTAAACTTGCCAATAGAGATACTATTTCACCAGTGGGAATTGTTCGAGATGTTGAAGTCTTGTGTGGAAAAACCAAATATCCCGCTGATTTTCTTGTTCTTGGTTCTCCACAAGATAGCTTTTGTCCCATTATATTTGGTAGACCCTTCTTGAATACTGTTAATGCTAGGATAGACTGCAAAAAGAATGTGGTTACTATTGGTTTAGATGATATGGTTCATGAGTTTAATTTCTCTAAATTTAGCAAACAACATCGTGAGGAAGAATCGCCAAGTAAGGATGAAATTATTGGTCTTGCTTCTATTGCCGTATCTCCTAGTGATCCTTTAGAACAATATTTGCTAGACCATGAAAATGATATGTTCATGAATGAAAGAAGAGAAATAGATGAGGTATTCTTTAAACAGGAACCTATTCTGCAACACAATTTGCCTGTTGAAATTCTAGGGGATCCTCCTCCACCCAAGGGTGATCCCGTGTTTGAGCTTAAACCGTTGCCTAATAATCTTAAATATGCTTATCTTGATGAAAAGAAAATATATCCTGTTATTATTAGTGCTAACCTTTCAGAGTATGAAGAAGAAAGAATATTGAAAACTCTGAAGAAGCACCGTGCCGCTATTGGATATACACTTGATGATCTTAAGGGCATTAGTCCCACTCTATGTCAACATAAAATAAATTTGGAAGCGGATGCCAAACCAGTTTGTGATCCTCAACGATGTTTGAATCCTAAAATGAAAGAAGTGGTAAGAAAAGAAATACTCAAGCTTCTGGAGGCAGGTATAATTTATCCTGTTGCTGATAGTCAGTGGGTAAGTCCTGTCCATTGTGTCCCTAAGAAGGGAGGTATTACTGTTGTCCCTAATGATAAAGATGAATTGATCCCGCAAAGAATTATCACAGGTTATAGGATGGTAATTGATT